AAAGTCTTTCTTTTCATTGACTGCCCAAAGTAATCGATAATGTTTCTGTTGATACAACTTCCTACGTAAAAGGTGCTCTTGCACTACCAAGTAACCTTACATCATTGAAGATGACCTATTCTAAATTTTGTAAATATTGACTAAAACTATTTAATTCTTCGCTGCCCATTTGATTGGATCCTTGAGTTCTATAAATTAATATCTATTATTGTATATTTGATGGATGCTTCAGAATTTGGAAATTGAATGCTTTTATAATTTTTGGATACTTATGCTTGACAATTGTTTCAATGAATCGAGTATAGCTTTTTATTTGCAAATTTTGCTTCATTTCCATGATAAGAAGTATGGACACGAGATACGACATAACATGACACGGACCCGCAAACAAGACATTTCTAAAAAAAAGTAAAATAGGGACATGTTGAAGAAACACTACTGATAATTGTGTTTTCTATATAAAGTCATATAATTTATCGCAAATATAGTTGACTCTGATCCACAACCGGAAGGAATTGCCGGTTAGCCTATGATATATGACCATAGATTCAATTATAAAGTACTAAAAGTCATTTAGTTCCAAAAAAAAAATTCAATAAAATGACAACAATATATTATTCATAAAAAAAATTTAGTATTTTATAATAAATGAATGCTATGTCTAGTCATCTAGTATGAATTTTTAGAATAAAATATTATAATAGTTAATAATCATCAATTTTTTGTTAGACAACGATTACCCAACATATATAATTTAAATTGTTGCTTTCATTTTTTCAAGTCTTTTTTAAAACTTTTATGCATCATTTGTTCTTATTATTATATAAGTATAACCTCATATCTGAAGACACTTTACAATACCAAAAATCGAATATTGATCCTATAATATTTATATTGTAAATAAAAATTTATTTTTTCTTTTCTTTAATTACCCAATTTAAAATAAGAGAGAGGCATGGGAGAGAGGAAAAAAAGGTAGTGTGGATTATGTAGTTGTTTGACATTAGAGAGTGTGTAGGTTGTATTGTCTAGCATTGTGAGTCATGCAGAGAATATAATATTTTTAGGAAAAAAATAATGGGATGAATTATATGTCATTTGATCAAAATAGATGAAAGCTAGATTAATCTTTACTATTGTTGTGCTTTTATAAGTTGAGAATTCAACTTCTTAAATGTAATATTAGATTGATTTTGAGGATGAATTTAACATGTCTAATCTTGATAATTATATGTTCTCTTATTGTATAAGATACTTATTAGTCAAATTTTTAAATTTTGTTAATCACATGTAAACACAGGTTTATTATTTAGTAGTAGATATGGTCTAAATAAGTGTCGGACACGTCACCAAAGAAATGTTGGATACGAAAATTTTATTATTTAATTATGAACACGGATATAAAAGAATTGAACACGTGTTAAAGGAGTGTCACTATCTGACACAAATACATCATTTTCTTGAGAGTGTTCATGCTTGGTAGCTACTATGAAACCCTTACCTCGCCTTGGCCCAATGAGAGCGTTTGCACCTTGGTCACCCTGTGCCTTGAGTAACACTACCCCTTACTTAGAGCATCTTATATGATGATTACGCTTCAAATTTGCTTTACTTGAATCTTTATACTGGGAAGTCCTACCTCCTGAAATTGAATTACAATAAAATTTCTGAAAGTTATCCAAAGTCAAAACAGCCCCTAGTGAGTATTAAGTCATGCACTGATCTATTAGATGATTATAGGGTGTTCTTTTTTATTATTATTTGCAACCCAGTTATTGGGAGAAAAAGGGAAAGAAAATGAAGAGCTACCCCCAAACCCAATATGTTGTCAAGAGGTCGCAATCTCCATATTGCAATGAGAAACTAATAAAGTTGGGGTAATTTCCCTACTTACAATTAATAAGTTTTATGGAGCACCCTTGAGATCTGTTATTCAATTTCGAAGCCTAATTACCTTACATCCTTCCTTCTTTTGGAAGCATTGGTTGTGTTCTATTTATTTGTGTAACAATTTTCCCTATGGAGATTATTGAACAGTGTTCTCTTCCTGTTGCTGTCCTCATCCCCCATTTTGTCTGTATTGCCCAACTGGCATCTCTTTTGATCCAATCTACAAAAATTCAACAAATCTTCCGAGACCTACTTCCCTAGGGAATTTTCTAGCTTTTCAAGTCTCTTTGCCACAGAGAGGGGTTGGCTAAATATGCATCAGATATGTTCATAGGCAATAGTGGATATTTTGTGTGTGAGAGTTTCCCAGCTGTTTGAAAGAGATTGCCTTTTTGAGATATCTTGATATCTAAGTTCATATGTGTTTGCCTAGCCGATTTTGGAACAGTACGTATGTCATGGAACCGACATGCGCTGGTAAGGGCTTTAATTTGTTGCCCAGACCAACCATGGATTAGAAAATAATTACAATGTTTATAGGAAGCAAATAGTTTGAAGTGACAATTTCGAGTGAAATCTCATGAGTGAAAATGATTTGTAAACATTAGAAGACAAAAGAAGAATTAGTGGAATGTCACACCAACATCATAGAAAATAAGGTGATACTATGATTTTGGGGCCTGCAAGGCTTTGTGTGGTTCCCGAAAAACGTATCACCGATGTTATGTAAATATCTGCCTACTTGTGCCAGTATAGTGAGGAAAGAACAGTTGCATCAGGCTTGATTGGCTCACCGATGTTATGTAAATATCTGCCTACTTGTGCCAGTATAGTGAGGAAAGAACAGTTGCATCAGGCTTGATTGGCTCACTTTCTAGAAAGCAACACATCTTCCAAATGATTCTAGAAAGCAACACATCTTCCAAATGATTCTAGAAAGCAACACATCTTCCAAATGATAAGAAAAATAATTGCATATTATCTTGGTGCATGTGTTGTTTAATGCAATAAATTTTGGAGGCATTCAAATTCTTATTTGTGTTTGAAGACTTCCAGGCATTGCAGCCTAAATTGACCCAAAGTAGTTCGCAAAATTGACCTGCTACATGACAATACAAAAGTTAGGATGATGATGTATGCTTAATTAGCTGTTAGTTTGAGACCTATCACTGTGTTATAGGGTTTGTCATGATAGGAGAAAAAATATAAAGTTTGTATATAAACCTTTATGCTTAGAAAGGTACCCTCTAATTTTCACATATGGTGTATACAAACCATTGGCCCCAAAAATGTTGGGATAAGACTTTGTTAAGTTGTTGAGACTAGTTTATACTAACTATTTGGTCTCGTCTTTATTGTCTATTTTTTGAACACTTCATCCATGGAGGTTTTTAAAGACAGATTTAGAGTGTGATGAGTTATTATGGTAACCACATAGGTCCCCCTAATTCGCAGACCATACCAATTAAACACAAAAACTCATGATATATTGTAAAGAAGAATTGAAAATTCCCAAAATAAAAATTTTCTTGCAAATGATTTCTAAGTTTAACAAGAACCAACTGATTCCCAACAAGATTTGTAATTGAAATGTAATAACCTATGACTGGTTACCTAGATAATAAACCATCCTCATGTAGACTGTAATCACTTTTGTAAAAGGAATACCCCAAATGAATCTCTTTTTTCTAGTTTCTTGTTAATTTATTTGCATTATTATTCACCATCATTCTTTGTAAAGCTGCACTTTACCTTCTATATTAGGTGAAATCTCTGTGACTGAAACATCATATAGATATTATTGTTTGATTACACATTTGTGAAATTTGAAACCAAAACATCTTCCCACTATAGCAGTTTAGTGGGTAAAAATTATAATTTGCAGGATATATTGTATCAAGGTAGAATTATTTATCAGGCAGTTTCCTAAATTTTAGAAAAGTATGCTTGTATTAAACCTTAAAGGATGCAAATTTTGTATATTGTCTAATTAAAGTTTGTGTTTGTCATATTTTTCCTTTTTAGTGCTACCGTTTATGGAGATTCCATGCAGCCAACTAGGCCCAAAAGAAAAACCAAGGTTTTTGGAGCCATCTGAAAACTGACCTTAGATGTGAAACTACCTTAGAATATAGGTTTGTGTAGTTTAGTTAAAAAGTTTGTAGTAACAATTGTTATGATGGTTTTTATGTTGGGACTATTACTTATTTCATTTCTTTCATTACATAGCTTGCATTGCAGGTTAGAACTTTAGATGTTTGTTAAACTTTAAGTTCTGTTTATTCCTATGGTAGGTATAGATTTGACAATTTCACATGGTTGACTGATATTTAAGTTCACTATTCTTGACAATCCCACTTTCTTTTTATGTATATTTTTATTTTTTAAGAGAATGTCATATCAGCTGAAAAAAGAGAGAATGCCATTTTTATGTTCTAAATATGTGACCAATAGTTATATGTTAAAGTTGCTCGTGATTCATTTTGGGCTGAATGCTGTGGTTTCTATTATATATAAGATTTAGTATGATTCTATTGAAAGTGAAACCATCTCCCTGAAATTCTAATCATCCTGCTGCGTGTCTTTTTGGATTATTTTGTTATAGCTTTCTGCGAATTGAGATTTATTTATATTTTTTGTGATTCTGCTGAACCCTCTATTTTTCTATCAGGGATTATTAGTTGTGTTTAGTTATTTGTATTTGGCCTAAAAAAGTTTTGATTGGTAATGGGCATACAAGCATTTGTAAATGGTACCATTGCTAATTGGCTTAATATTTAGTAGCATGTTGACCAAGTGGCTTAGCTTGGTAGAAAAAGATCTTTGATGTCCCCAAAATATGTTTGGATTCATTCTAGGTGTCATATAATTTGCTTTTAAGGCATTGTGAAAAGAATTGTAAAAATCAGGTTGGCTGAATTGGCTGATTTGAGTGTGAGAATCATTTATTAATTACAGCAGCATTTGACTATTTGGGTTTGAGGAAGTACTGATTTTCAGAGCTTTTGACAGTCCAGGAGAAAGATTAGACATGTTGACCTAATAACTTAGTTTTTTGAATTTTATTGTTGTTGATTAATTTTTCTTTTTGGTATTTGTCAGTTCTTCGGATGGAACTCGATATTCAGAAGTTCTTGCAGAATCCTGATCAACAGCAGTTTGAGTTCCATCATTTTCCTACCTCCTACCTCCGTCTTGCAGCACACCGTGTTGCTCAACACTATGGTCTGCAGACTATGGTTCTGGATAATTTTACCGATGGTCAGGGAAGTAAAATTGTGGTTAGAAAACTGGCAGAAACTAGATACCCTGCTGTCTGTTTATCAGATATACCAGCTAAAAAGTCAGAGAATGACAAACATGAGCAGTTGAAGATTTTCCTAAGGCCAAGGCCTAGTAAAGGATCCTCCAATGGAACCAATGAACTGGGGACTAAACGCAATCCTGTAAGAACTATGGAAGAGAGGAAGGAGGAGTATGACAGGGCACGAGCCAGAATTTTCAGTAGTCGAAGTTGTAGTCCCGAGTTCGAGGATACTCTGCCTCAACCCTCTTTAAATAGAAAGAATTTGTCTTCCGGTGGAGATGAGATCGAAGGGTTGAGGAACTCCGTCCTGGATTTAGAGAAAAATGTCTGCAGCAGGGATGGTGGTACTTCTTCTCGAGTAGCCATTTTCCGAGATAGGGAGAAGGATCGCACTGACCCAGATTATGACCGAAGTTATGAAAGGTAATAAGATATCAGTTTCTGTACTGGAAGTTATTTAGGTGTTGGATGGCTTTTCAATGTGGACACTCTTTTTTTTGCAGTTATATTTCTGGTGCGAACAGTTTTTGTGTCAAGATACTTTCTGTAATTGATGTTTGATTTTTCTTTGAAATTGCTGTATTAGGCACCACTTATCCTCTAGGGACCTTGGTATGTGGCTGTATGGGGAGGTCATGGTATCTGTGATTTAAAGAGGAGTTTCTGCTCCCTTTTTCCTTTCTATCTTGATAAATTGTGTTTGCATTTGGTTTGTATGCAATGAAGAACTAATAGTGTCCTTTATTTTTTTTGTGCTGTTTCCCTGGCAATATTTTACACTGAGGCTTTAATCCTGATCTTGGGAAAAATAGTAATCGTCTATCGTCCTTTTTAATTTTATCCTGGAGACTTTGGCATTATCATTTTGATCTGATATTTGTTCTTGCAGCTTAGGTTATGAGTGGTTGTGTAAGAGGGTTAGGGGTGACCCTCTTAGACCTGGCATTCATTACTGGTTTACTGGAGACTGTATAATATTTGTACTAAATCTTTAGTATTTAGTTGTTTAATTTTTTTTTTTTACCGCAATTTAGTTGTTTACTTGATATGCACTTATTTAAGGTGTATCTTGACTTGATGACGTGCTGAGGTATTATTCAGAGAGAATGTATATTTGTTGTTTAACATTTCAAATTTTGTGATTTTTGAAATGAAGCACAAGTACTATAAGATTGGTTGGGTTGATGAAATTATAAGAGTTAATAGTTTGAGCTTTACAGCCGTAGTCAGTTCTGATATGTATGTGCATTTCCATATTTGAAAATTAGTGAACACCTGAATGATACAAGCTGATTGTTTTTGTTAAACTGTTGCAGATATATTAAGTGTATTCCAACCAACCAAAGCTTTAGCTTGATGCCTTCTAATATGCAGAAGTTTCAGCCTCCATTCGTGCAGTATGATTCTGTTTTTCCTCAGTTGGGGCAAATGCCAAGGGCTCAAGCTTCCCTCGGCTACAGGAGCCCAGTCATGAGCCCTTTCTGTGCCATGGGATTGAATCAGACAACCAGGGATGCTGTCTATATGCAGTGGCCATCTCAAGCCATGATATATAATCAGTCATATGATCAATTTAGACATGGTGTTTTCCAGGTGGGTCACAGTTCCTTCTCCATCATAACTCTCTTTCCTCTCAAAATATTAATAAGTATATTATTTGATTCTACGCAAGACATTGTACGAGTTGGTATAAGGATGAGTCACTGAAGATCATCTTGGTGTAAATGACAGTATACGAGTTGGTATAGGGACAAGTCACTGAAGATCATCATGGTGTAAATGACAGTATACGAGTTGCTTTAGGGATGAGTCACTGAGTTTCACCCTTATTAATTTCTGTGATTTTTGAATAGATTATATCCATAGCTTTCTTAAGATGATCATGCATGTATGATGATGCAATCCTCCGGGATATTCACAATGCTTGACATAGAACATGTAATTTTATATCATTCATGATATTTCTTCTCCACAATAAAGATAAAGGAAGGCCAGAAGTAATAAATTACATGATAAAGTGTCAATGGTGTTGCCAACAATTGCTTATGTTTTTCCCTCTATGTGAAGTGGAGTACATAGTTACCCCAAAGTTTGGAATGTTATGCGGTTTTCCCTTACATGGTTTTAAGAACTGCTTTCTTTTGAGACAAATTTAAACTTAGACCCGGGGGCTGAAGTAGTAAGTTTTTCAATTTTTTTGCATCCACTCATGGGCATGTGATGGCAGCCACAAGTGTTGTCCATCAAGATACATTGTCAACGCAAATTTTTTTCTTCAGAATGATGCAGCTTATGTCTCATTTTTGTGCTGCCATTTCCTAGGTGATTAGACCTGTGTACACAAAGCAAAATTATACAGTATTATCCTTTTTTGTTTTCTCGTTTGATTCAATTATCACTCTCTTTTTCGTTTTTCCTGCTGTTCTTGTATATAAAGCTAATTAATGTCATTTTTACTATTGTTGCAGGCTCCCTTTTGTCAGCAGCCACTAAGTTTGGATTACTCCCAAAATTATTGAATGTCAATCTGAATATTGTTGGATGGTTGAATGTTTGTATCACTGGACAAATTGCAGTTTTCTTCTCCTAGAGTTACCTAATCTTTTGGTTCCAAATTAGTTGTTTCGTTTTTGTTTTCATTTTTTGGTGAAGATTAGTATTGGTGATGGATAGTAGTAGTTATATTCGGACTGTTGTTTCTAGTTAAAGTTTTATGCATTGTTTGTTTGCCATTTTTGATTGTCTTACCTTCATTTTTCTGGATTGATTAATGCGTTGAGCCCGTATAGTTTTTCTTAGTCCCCAGTGACGCTTTGGTCATGCTTCTGTTTTTTTTGGCAGCTCTTATGCAAGCCTCAGCTTCATTTGTTTTTTATTGTTTGACTCTAATATTGAAAATGCATCACATATTTGCTCAAACAAGTGATAAAATCTTTTAACCCGAAATGGGTGGATTAGTTGATCAGGGTTTCATTTTATACAAAAGCTGGAATTTCTTATTCAAAAAGTCACCTAATTTTATTTTTTTGGTAGTTGTTTAGTTTGGTATTTAAGATGGGATTGTATGTATGTCACAGAATTAGTTCGATGATCTATAAGGTTGGGTTATCTCATAATTATCTTGTGGTTAGCACCTAAAAAAGGAAAGTTTCAAAATCTACGAGGCCAAGCCTCCATCCCAATCGGCAAATGACGTTATCATCGAGTGAATAACCCAGGTTGAGTCTGCAACATAATGTTATTTGGTCATTTTTATTTTATCTCATCTTTTTTTTTTAACAAAAAATGAAAAATAAATCAATTATGTAGAATAGTTTAACATAAGGTAGCTCATAAACAAAAGTAGATTTATCTGACCAGTGAGGGAAATCTACCTCAAGGCATGCCTGAGGTCAAGTTTCATCAACCATGAAGTGTGGTTTCCGTCCCTTTGCTAATAATGGGCTTGGAAATATCACACACCCCCAAACCCCCCCCCCCCCCCCCACCCCCCTCCCTCTCCCCGGTCTAATATTATATTGCTTACAGTATGAATGTTCATGGGATAATGCTTGCCAGTTTCTTTCAATCATCACTTGCATAATATATTTACGCATAAAAACATTAAACATATGTAAAAGTATTGCTAAACTGACCAAAAAATGAGACAAAATATAAGGATGGAATGATACGACATTAATATAATTAAAATTTTAATTTTAATTTCAAATGTATAAAAATGTGATTAACAACACCATTATGGTTAGGTAGACAATTTTGGTAAACCTGAGATTCTGCAAAACCATAATAATAAATGAAGCAGCAGACCAATTTAGAATTATCTAGTAGGATTCAGTATTGAGTTGCCACCAGGGCATGATAGATCGGATCTGTTCCGGATAATAAATTAGCAGGCCCCAGTGCCGGTCTTGATCTCGGCTGCCACGCCTGTTTGTCAATAGTTGATTCAGATTTAGGTAAGATGAAAGTAATGCATGTCAAAAGGGTCATCTAAATTTGTGGCCACTCGGATCGACCCATTATATCCAATACAAACATCATATTAAAAATCGTGTTAGACAAAAATATTTGTGAAAATTATACTAGATTTTGCAGTGGCGGGAATTTCATACACTAACCATCAAATTCTTATTTTTTTTTTCTCCCTTTGAATGTCGAGAATAGAGGGGGAGTAGAATTTGTTGGTGTTGGAGGGAAACCAAATGAAAAATTAGAGTTTATACGAACGTTGAAAGATGGTTAATAGATAAATGTAGTAAAATCATACCCTCGCAATTACGAAACTCCTCATCCCCAAACACAATCTAGAATCAAGAGTTACCACAAACAATCTCTAATCAAGTGTTAACAGCTACATAACAATCCAGTCCATGGGAAAAAAAAAAAAAGAGGACGAATGAGGCTGCTCTTTCAATTTCAATGCTCATTATTCATACGAAATCTACGTGACAACATGACATAAGAACAAACTTCATGGTTCAATCATCGCTGCAGTAATATTTGCTAGTTTCATGCCATGATAATGTGCTGTCCTTAACAAAGATTTTACTTTGGAAAAACACAGGTTAAAAAACACGACAAAACAAAAATAAAAAAAAAATCAAAATCAAAAATCAAAAACAAGAATTTGATGCCCTGTTCTTTGACTAGGGATCTCCAGATATGCTTGAATCAAACGTATAAGTTTGCTAATGTCGATCTCATTTTTATGTGAGTTATGAAATGATCAATCCAAAGTGTCTGCTGCCAATGGCTTTTGACTAATACATTTATTTTGTTTAGGAATTTTGGTTTGTACAGACAACTCTGATTTGGTCTATCATGGCATACCAACGATATCCAAAGGCCATTTCAAATTTACTTGCATGCCGAGCTCTCATTGTTGTATAATGCACAAAAATTGCCTAATCACCAAACAGCAGGCCTTCCGGTTTGATGCTATAAAGCTATTCCAGTAATGTAACAGGAAAGAAAATGAATCCATCAAAAAGTAGCACACAAGATTTCAAACCTGGAGGAGGGTACAGTGCAGGTGACCAAGCGGATAATGCACAAAAATTGCCTAATCACCAAACAGCAGGCCTTCCGGTTTGATGCTATAATGCTATTCCAGTAACGTAACAGGAAAGAAAATGAATCCATCAAAAAGTAGGACACAAGATTTCAAACCTGGAGGAGGGTACAGTGCAGGTGACCAAGACGGATAATGCACAAAAATTGCCTAATCACCAAACAGCAGGCCTTCCGGTTTGATGCTATAATGCTATTCCAGTAATGTAACAGGAAAGAAAATGAATCTCTCAAAAAGTAGCACACAAGATTTCAAACCTGGAGGAGGGTATAGTGCAGGTGACCAAGACGGCGCAGGATTGACATCCGCGTGTTTAAACAGACTGCCAAAGCTATAGAGTTGATGCTATGCTAAAGTTCAATGGCAGGGTTGGAATGTGAGTTCAAGTTTAACCAGGAGGAGGAATAGTGCAGATGACCAATGCAGCATGAGGTTTGGCATACCCATGTTCTTCAAGTAAACCTTGTCATTGTGCTGCACTAAGAATAGATCTGGCTTTGCTATCACTCCAAGATCACAAACCTGATGTACTGAGGATCTTCGAACACAAACTTTATGGAGATTTCCTACTATCATCTTACCATTACACTACAGAAACAGTGGGCAGCCAGCTGACACAAGAGGCGCCTTACTCTCAGAAAAAAATTTGATCAAATGGAGTAGACTTCAATGTTGAGTTGCTATAAAAATCATCCCACACCCACAGGAAAAGCAATAATACCACTTTAACTTGCAAACCAAATTAGCATGAGCATTATGTTGTGAAAAGCTTAACAAAGAATGCAGACTTCCAATTTTGCATACCTTTGAGGGTGCAGCTTACATAGTGAAAAGAAGAAATAATGCATTTGACAGAGTACGAATACAAATGACATTATCACAAAAACTGTAATCTCAATCACAAAAACCCAGAAAACTTAATGGAATATGTGACTATTGAGATGACATAGGAAAAGCACAAGCCAATGCTACAACTGTAATTCAAGGTACATCCACCTGTAAGATCCAGAGTTTACCTCCTTTTTTATGCTCCTTCACAGTCATATGCATTATGAATAAAATTCCAGGAGAAAGTTTGCCATATTCATTTCTTGATGAAATAAAGATGTTTGACTAGCAACTGTATTATGCATCAGAAGCAATCGCTCATGTCATAAGATGACTCCTATTACTTTTAAATAATACTTATTATAACTTGCAGCAGAGACAACGAAAAGATTTACGGGGATTGTTAATTACAGACTACATATATGGAAGATGCGAACAGAAAACTGGGCTTTCTAAAAAATATATCTAGTCCCGTATTTATTTACAAATTTCTCCATGTGACTGTGAGAAGTAGATCTGGAACAAATTATAAATTGTCCACTTCCCAGTTTTTTGTGTTAGAATCCAATTGAGTTGAAAGACCAATGCAAACACAATCAATCAAAATTCAGAACTCAAACCATCGCCAGAAACAGGTTCTGTACTCAGATGAAATTGACTCCATACCAAACAACAACAAAGTATCCGACAATTAAAGTGTTAAGAAAGTATTCAAATCTGCTCTACTTCTCTAGGACCCAGTTAAGAAACTAACATCGGATCTCACAACTTTGGGTGAAACTTAAGCCTTAAAACTTTTGAATTAGAATTGCAATAGTGTATTTTCTACTAGGAAAAGACCAAATTGGGACAAAAATCATACTCCAAAAGATTTGTGAAGGCTTCTTAAGAGCCGGTCCCAAGCTTGGATTGCGTTAGGTAGCTAACAACCAGCATAAAATTGTCAGATCCAAAAGAAAATGAATCCAAAGAATAGAGCACAATGGAGAAACACGATGAATCAAGCAGATACCAAATAGTTGGGATCAAAGCTTTCTTGAGTTCAGTTTTTCTAAAGAAATCAGATCAATATTGGTGAGTTGAGTTTCAGTTAAGTTCCACACCAGAGCAGTGTTTCAAGAAACTAGGGATTCCACTTCTGGGCTAATGCTTGATTCCTACCTCACAAGTGTAAAGTTAAAGAATTCAGAGGCCAAAGTAGAAAGGAAAAAAGGGTTAAGCTGTAGGATTAGTTCATCTATCTTGAAATACAGACCTGCCAACATGGTGAGCCAAAGTAAAGTTCTCCATACCAAAAATTAACATACATAAAGCACATATTATGTTCCTCAAGTGTAATAGACGACTGTTCCACTCCAAGTGAATTCTCCAAAGGTCAATCAAGCCTTAATAATATCTCAAACAGGTTCAAGTAAAGATGGTATTAAACGCATAACATATCAAAAGAAACGATAGGAGATTCAGTAGAAGCCTGGAATCATGAATGAATGCAAAAGTAACATGTGAATTGAAAACAAACACACAGAAACTTGAATTATAAGAAGCACAAGAATATGTAAGGCAACATATTGAAGAAGTTATGAAACAGGATTTCAAGTGTCAAGATGACTTAACTTGATTCCGATACCAACCATTTTTCCAAATTAGAAAATAGCACGGTTGAAGCTATTCAATACAGCACAATCTTCACATAAGGGGGAACGTATGGGAATATCATTTTGGAAACAGAAATGGAAATCATGATGGCTGCACCAGGATTTTGGATTATATAGGGGACTATTACTAAGAGGACCTAGGTATTCCTTCACGCTTCATTTGGTTGGCATGAAGTCTTGAGGAGTGAAAAGTGAAAATTGAATCTTTTAACAATTATCCTGACCTTGAATAGTTCAGAGATTTCGAGAGTCCACTACGCAGTCTTTGTCTTAACAGTTGTTAAGTAATTTGGGTAACCATATACTTTAACAAGTATCGTGTAACCAAGTCTATAACATCTAAATGGATTAAAAAATAGCTTACTTGGTAGATCAGATGCACGACCTAAACAGATGGGAAATGTAACTCTTATCCTCTAATAGCCAGACTCAATTTATTTCAATCAACAAGCTTCAGTTAGTTTCACATCTCAGAATGTGTCAAATTGATATAAGAACAGGCGACATAAGAGTTTGCATTTTTTTTCTTTTTTTGAACTGTGGTTAGAGTTTGAATTGAGTGTTAAGAAGTTAACATTTTAGCTTAAATTGAGATGCAATTATTAATAGAAAAAAATTGTTGAATGCCTCATTTCAAACATGGGGGTTAACTAGGGTTATCTTCAATGCATAACTGGCCATATAGAAGTAATTCATAATTAACTATTAAACACACTACATTTGGCAAATGCATCTGGGCTGTATAGAGGCAATCCATAATTAACCGTAAAACATACTAGATTTGGCAACAGCAGTGAGGAACACTGAACAACTAAGCAATTTCAGGAAATGCAGCAACCATTCATCAATGTTCTTGGAGCATTAAAACAGAAAGAAATTCCTAATCACATCAGAATGGTCATGTTCTTTAAGAAAGATTCCTCAATACCGTGGTATTAAGTCCTCTATGGAACAACACAATGTACAACAAGGAGGACTCGAGCCACTACACAGGAGAATCCTGGAAACTGCCCAAGAGTGCTATCCATGGATTGCATTCTTGGATTTCTAATGAACATAAATAGTGCCAACACTTATTCACCCTCAGCTGCAAGCTCAAGATTCGATAAGTTGTTACTTCATCCTCCAACATCATCGCCGACAACAAATCAACCTGACAAGCAATGCTCGAATGTAAGAAAATCAGCTACTTCTCAAGTTATGATAGACTAGAGCAACTATAAGAAGACCCTATTGCCCAAGACCAAAAGGCCATTAATATTATTGCCACCAAGAGTAACATCACAATCAGTATAGAATGACATTCCCTCCAATAAAATTTCTTTTCTCATAATGGTAGATTAGTTACTGGATCCGATCCATATCCAATGCCAGAAGCCAACAAGGGGGTACATGAACTGCTTCTTATGACTTATTAGTTACACTTGTTTCCACTCACCCAATCTTTTGAGACAGACATAACCGAGTTCCAAACCACAGCCCCAGCATCTCAACAGATATTTTGCAAGTTCCATGAACAGTGAAGACCAAATATAAAAGGACTCAACCCGGAGTACTAAGCACAACCATAATAACAAGAAAACTTAAACCAAGCTCTAAAAAGTCAAATCCATACACATATTTCACATGACCCACAATCTGCAGTGATAAGGAAAGGTAAAGAGAAGGCAACAATTACCCAAATTCAATCATCCCCAGTTGGAAATAGAGTGAGAACTTTCCTTCCACTCGCTGCAGTGGCTGACTCCAAATCTTCGATATAAGAGGGCATCGGGTTATGCACTGGAGTCCCCACCCTATGAACAGGCTGCTGCGACTGCCGGGCAAGAAAGGGATGCTCAAACTGACCGTTAGGCGGTGAACCAAAATGCCCCATCTGCCTATACTGCGGCTGAAACTGTGGATGCCCCGCTACAGCCGCCATCTGCTGCTGGTGGTGCTGCTGCTGCAGTGCTGCCACAGGCACAAACGGCAAGAAATGGTCCGAATTGGGCCTTCCCGGATGCAAAAAATGTGCTGGCACAGGTGAACTCGCAAACAGATGATCTGTAGCAGGATCAGATGCTGAGGATAGTCCTCCACCACTACCACCACCACCACTGGAAAGACCCTGCATTCGCTTCAAATACAGGCGATACTTCTGCAAATGACTCGCAACATTTTCACGAGTCAACCCATCAACACTCATGAGCTGCATTATGGTCTTGGGGACAGCATTCTTGATCCCCAAGTGGGCCACAGCATCCACAAATCTTTTGTGGAGCTGTGGCGTCCACACGAGCCGAGGCCGCTTCAGGGTGCGGGCAGGTTCGTCCCCTGAACCAGCTCCACCCATCTCGGCGGAATCGAATTCCGACGAGTTATTGGTGGTGGGTTGGGTGGAAGGGGTTTGAAGATGTGGCGGAGGAGGTGGAGGTGGTGGTTGTTGATGGTGGTGGGGCGTTTGTGGGCTATTTGGGTATCGGATATCGAAGGCAATAGCTAGATCCGCGGTTATTAGGGTTTGGGATAAGGGCATGAGCTCTTCAGGAGATGGGAGTTCTTCTTCCCACTTTGAAAACCAATTCGAGTCATCCTCCCTCATTTTTTCCACCACTTTTATCAAACCCAATTGACCAATTCTCTACGTAATAGTATTTTTATCAGTAATTTTTTTCTCAGCAATTTAAGGAAGTAGATGAAAAGAACAAGAACACTATATCGTAGAAGAGAGTGAGAAATTGGAAGGTGGAATTTGCTAAAACGGGTTCATTCTTTTTTATCTCCGTCTCTCTCCACCTAGAGTTGTGGAGGGGAGAGAGGTGGAAGAGAAGAGGAAGAGAGGAGGAAGGGAGTGAAGGTTGGGTGGTGGTGGTGGAGGGGTCTTCGAGGTGGATCTTTTTTTCTTCTTGGAGGCTTTTATAGTGGTTAGTGGTTACTGTTGAATGATGGCGATTGCTTTTTTCTTATGATTTTTAAGTGGGGTTTTATTTTCCGGGATTTGGGGGTCTTTATACTGGACATTTGGGAGTGAGTGTAAAAAGATTTTCCTATTCACCATTTTCCTTTTGTTTATTTCACAAGGATGTGTTGGTGTGATCTCTAACCTATTGATATAAATTTGACAAGACACTATACTATATATATATATATATATTTTATAAGTTTTGATACAAATACAATAGAAATAACAATGATATGCTGGTCACACGGACACCTGTTTCAAAGGCCTTATGTGTTGGGTTACTTTCTGTTTTTGTGTTTTTGTTTAATCCAATTACGAAATAATTTGTAAGAAATATTATTATTTTATTTTTTCAATAATTAAAAATTACAAATAACTCCTACCAAGAGCTATGACCAAAAACATATATTTTTAATGAGCAACGTTACACTGATCAAATTTTGGGATTATATTAAGAACTTAAATGACATGACAATTGACTTGAGTTTTTTTTATTAGTGTCGTGTCATTTGAACCCCAATAAAAATTCTAAATAATCATCTGACATGTCATTTGAGATTTAAATTTGATTCTAAAATTTGATCAGTCTAACATTACTGTTTTTTAATATAGTACAAAAAAAAATATTTTGCAGTACTATAGTGTTATCCCTTGATTAATACACGGTCAATAATAAGTTTTAGACATTACTATAGGGTATTAGACAAAAGTATTAAGTTCTAATCAGACTAAACTTTGTAAATTTGATAAAAATGAAGCTTTTGAGTAGACTAACCCCATATGAGCAAATGTGGTTGACGGATAAACTACAATATTAAAAAAAAAAATTAATATGGTATCAAAAACTATTATTTTTAAAGGTCATGTTATACTTTTTAAAAATAAAATTATAATTATTATAAGTAATTCGTGAGATGTTTGTGATCAATTTAAGGGTAACAAATTAACCTTTAAAAATTATAATTTTTTATAACTAAAAAATTATAACTTGATTTAAAAACATTGGAATTTTTAGTGCTGTTCTTGTTTTGATACCATAATTTTTTTTTGGTGGTTGATAGAAGTCTTCAGAAATAACTTCGAGGTTGGTTCCAAGTTCCAACCCATTGTGATCAGTCCATGTAGACTTCGCTAATTTGCCAGATGCAAGTGTGTCAAAATAACCTACATTTACGATTTCTTCAGTTCAATTATGATTTGAAATTCTTTTTCATAAAAAAGAGATCGCCTATGGGGCTCCTGAACATTAAAAAAACACAAAAAAAAGTCGTTTGAGTAGATGTACATTATTCTACAAAGTCGGATACCCTAGGTTCCCGAAAGAATCGAGTAGTTCAATGAATTTTTTTTTAGTATTTCGTAAAAAATGAAGTAGGAATGTGAAATATTTACAAAATTTTCATATTTTTACTCTATCTTACTCGCATATATATGTATGTGTGTTAATCCTTAAAAATTAAAATTTAAAAATCTAGAAACTCTAATGTTTTATTAATATTTATTTCTTTCTTTTTGTGTTTTATTGTACTTGTTTATGCATTATCGAATTTATTGTGTTTTTTTAGTGTTATTAGATTATTTTGTTAGTTAATTACTGCAAGTAATTTAATTAAATTGTCAAAATAATTCAAAAAATTAATAACTAAAAAATGTGTTTACCTAATTTCCTATCCGACTTCAACTGCATTGTTTTGGACGAAATTTGGGTAAAAAAAATACACTTGATCGGATAAAGTAAGATAAGAAAAAAAAATTCCGTAAAATATCGAATAAGAAGATAAAATATCATAATTCCTACTCGTAACATAGGATTAACACTCCTAAAGAAGACTATTAATGAAAATTCTCATCGCAGAACACCTATGGGGTTGCATGGGGATGTGATTATATGATGTGGAGAGAGAAAGAGAGTAAAGTTTGGTCACTTTGTGGGGTTTTTTTCCCCAAGTTTGGTCACATAAATGTTGACGTGGGAATCAAATGAGTTTTTAAGGTGTGTTTGGCTGTGAGGTGTAATGATAACTTATTTAATGTGGAGGATATTTTATTCTTTTGATTAAAAGAGAATATTTTGGGTGCTTGGGGTGATTGATTTTTAAAAAAAATCCCATACGATTTTTGGGTTGACTTTAATATCAACGTTCACAATTTCTTTAAAATTAGAGATTAGTGTCTTTGATGATTAGGTTCAATGAACTTGTGCATTTCATTGTAGTATAATATTCCTCAAGAAGGAGCTAAATATATTTAAAAGCTTGACACCCCAGCAAAATCTCTAGAGTCAGAATTGCCCATGTGACAGGCTTATTTCATTGTAGTATAGTTTTAGGAGTGGCATCATTAATCAGAGAATACACGAAAATCGAATTTAGAACATGTTTCTTGAATTGAGAGTTAGAATGCCATTACTATTGGATTTAAAAAGGTACTTTTGTGGGTGAATGGTGCAGAAGGTTGAAGGATCAATCCAAGTTTTAGTTCAGGTTCTTAACTAAAGTAACAAATGGATTTGTTTTGTTAAATACCAATTATTTCCTATAACTAGTATCTATTTATATATATATATAAGGCAACCGGGGATTGAACCTCACCTACACTACAACTACGAACGTGGAAAGGGCATGGTGCAGCCAGCCAGCTGCATGCCTGGCCTCGAGGAGTGGATTCATTACGGTCAATACCAAGAGCCCTTGAAGAAAAAGAAGAAGGAAGTGTTTGACCCCAAAGAGAGGCCGTCTGATTCTAGGTGCATACCAAGGAAAAGGAGTTGAGTTAAACCGAATCCATTCAATGCGAACAGTATTTGGGTTGGATTTGGTGGTGACATCTTAACTCGAGCAATGCCTTAACTTAAATAGGATTGAGATATTCAGGTACGATCTAGGTTTTTAAAACCTGTCCAACTTGGATTAGATTCCAATTGATTGCCTTTTTGTACACCTATGTCCATCATTGATAGGAAATTTTTATAGGTTTACTGTTTCACCACACACAGAAAAGGAAGCACAATATATCTCCTTATAATGGTTCCAAGATCCAAGCTTGTAGCTCTTCGAATTATCCTTCTGACCATAAAAAAAAACAGTCTTAACAAAACCCTCAAAAGGAACATAAAAAGTACTTAATTGTAGGAAAACATAAACAAAGATTATCTACGACCGTATTACCGCATTTTGGTTTGAACCATCTCACTAACATGACAAAAAATTATGCTCACACTAATACATACTCATAATCCAAGTCTAAGCTAAATTAACACATTGAAGATGGTCGACACGAAGGTGAAAACATGCCACATTATTCCTACATCTTTAGCAACCTTAGCCGAGAACTCTTTTCTTGGCCTTCATCCTCCCTACAAGCTTTACAAAATGAATCATGTCAAAACTGGCTTGCCAATTTTTTATGCAGTTGCAAATCAAAATTTTTAGTTACCAAACAGTATAGAAATGGCTGCACAGTGGTCGTCCATAATGTACTCCAATAAACCAGAAAAAGCCCATTCAAGCTGTTTGGAAAAATCGGAACAGAGAATCATCAATTGCACAGACCCAACGAAATCTTCTCACAATATGTTGGTCAGTTTTGAAAGGTTTGTCATGATTCATTGAGGTTGGAGCTTTTGATTAAAAACCTTGTGTTGATAGGGACGGGAAATGAACCACTGAACTCATATAGGATGAACAAATATACCACAGACTCCAGAGAAGACAAAATATTATGGCCTCAATTTTGCTCCGACATTTATTTATTTCTTGCGAGGGACAAACAATGGTATGGCAACTGGCCAATTCAGAGGGCTGAACTCCAATTATCCTAGCCCCTTAAGAGTTAACATCCAAAGCACATCATTGATAATTGTCACTACTCCAAGAACTGATGTTGCAGCCTAAATGCATGGAACATGAATGTAACTCATGGCACAAGGAGGCTAACCACCTGAAGAAGATTTTGAGTGTGAAACGACCACTAGAAACTGACAAAAAAATAGTGCAGTAGATTTTATCTGGGTTCTGCTTCATCAAAGTAGATATAATATTTAATTGCTTCACTACAACAGATAAATGTGCCCAGAAAAATAGAAGAGAATATTTCTTAAAAGAAGACAATAGTGTCATGACAGTTATTGGAGAGAGAAAGAGAGAGACAGACAGACAAACAGAGAGACACAGAAAAGATCAATGCAACTAGTAAAAGCAGCTTTGAACCATCACCACACGGTTATACATTGATCTACAACTGAATAAATCAGCTGCAATGACCATCAAATTGCAGCAATAGCAAGCTACTTATAAAGAGTCCTTTCAAATAAAAGATATATTTTTTCCCCTTTTCATAGTCATACTATCCCTAATAAATTAAATCTCTTTGGTAGGAATAATAATAGTATTTTTAGGAGCTACTTTAACTCTTGCTCAAAAAGATATTAAGAGAGGTTTAGCCTATTCCACAATGTCTCAATTAGGTTATATGATGTTAGCCCTAGGTATGAGATTTTATCAAAGTGCTTTATTTCATTTGATTAATTCAGAGACTTGAGCTAGTAGACAAATAGATCTAAAAATTATCATGAGTAGGATTGTTGGTTCTTCAAGGCCTATTCTTTGTGCTACATTTGAATAAAATAAAAATCTTGCAGACTCCCCAAACTATGATTGCATTTCAGAAAAGCTATGGTGCACGTCCAAGTCCACAAAAACCATATTTAAGGTCATCTTCAATCATGACTCAAATAATAAACGACTTGATGTGATACAGACTATAGCAATGGAAGAGCTCAAATTTTTACTCAAAACTTATACTCTTTAATCTATCAGAATTCTTATTTTATATTATTAGCATGTAGGGTAATAATATAATTACCAAATATTAGTTTATTATAAATAAGATAGTGTAGGGCACCATAGCCTACACGACATATTATTTTCTCTCTCTCTTTCCTCTTCTCCTCTACTTACA